AAGTAGACCATTCACTTTTAACTTTTAAAATTAAGTCAATTAATCATTTGTTATATAATGTGTGCTCAGCATTGACAGCAGACTAAGCTAGTAAAGAATACCAGCCTCAACATAATTATGAAAAGAGTGGTGCCTTCAATGGTTCTTTGAATGTGGTGCCTTCAATGATGAAAATAATTACCTTCAATGACTATACAGAATGAAAAAGACTTACTCTTTAGGGCCATTCTTTACATTACCAGCCATGATGCTTCTTTACTCAAATCAATATATATTTATCATATCCTATGAAGGAAATCCCACATTGTATTAGAGCTGGTTGGTTTTGTATAGAGTGAATTGGAGTGACAATGCATTTCATATGGTATTCTCTCCCTTTTTCTTTTTTTCACCATCAGGTGAAATTGGGTGAAGATGCCCCCAATTCCAGTGTGGTACATGTCTCTAATTCTGAAGGAGGTGACAACAGTAGAAATGGTGCCCAGGTGAAGATAGTTGATGGAGGCGAGTGCCACCTTCTTGACTTTGCCAGCCCTGAGCGTCCACTGGTGGTCAATTTTGGCTCAGCCACTTGACCTCCTTTTACTAGCCAGCTGCCAGCCTTCAGCAAACTGGTGGAAGAGTTCTCATCAGTGGCTGACTTCCTGTTGGTATACATTGATGAGGCTCATCCTTCAGATGGTTGGGCAGTGCCTGGTGATTCTTCTTTGTCTTTTGAAGTGAAGAAGCACCGGAACCAAGAAGACCGATGTGCAGCAGCCCACCAGCTTCTGGAGCATTTCTCCTTGCCGCCCCAGTGCCGAGTTGTGGCTGACCGCATGGACAATAATGCCAATGTAGCTTATGGTGTAGCCTTTGAACGTGTGTGTATTGTGCAGAGACAGAAAATTGCTTATCTAGGAGGAAAGGGGCCCTTCTACTACAACCTTCAAGAAGTCCGGCGTTGGCTGGAGAAGAATTTCAGCAAAAGATGAAATCTAGATTAGCTGGTTGAAGGTATGATTGTAAAAGAGTTTTTTTTTTTTTTTAATTATGTAAAGGAAAGGAAACTAAGAACTGAATCCACTATTTCAACTGAGTCTCATTGTCTCCCTGAAAGACAGGAATTTACGTGTCAGAAGAACATAAGCTTCTAACATCTCCATACTTCTTTTACCACTCAAATGGCATTTGGCTAAATAGTAGCCCCATCACATCTCTTCCTAGTGAAAAGCCCTGAGTAAAAAGATCCCAAGATGTAGAGGAAGAAACCCTGTTTCAACATGTGTTCATCTGCCTTGGGAAAGAAGTAATACAGCTGATGGAAGCTTTGGGACCTGAAGAACAGACTTACCTGAATAACTACTACGTTAGGGAACTATTATCCTTGTTAGTATAAGGGGTATTGCCTAGGCTTTATTCAGTATGGATAGAGCCCAACTGGAAAATTCCCAAATATTTACTTATGATGAATCCTTGAGTCCAGTCCTTGTGCTTGGGACTTCGTGTTTAACAATGTTCAAGTAGTTTTTGCTGTTTTAGTTTCTAGCCATCTGGTGCTCTCTGCCAGTCTAAATATGCCAGAACTCACAGATGTATTGGTAGATATCAAGAATGATTCCTGGAGGGTTAGATTATCTGAAATCTGAGGGTTACTTTTTAGGCAGGTGGGAAAGTACTAGAAGAAAATCAAATTGACAAGCTAGGAAAGGATGCAGAAAGATGAGGAGGCTTCACAGAGTTTCACTTTGAAGCTGTGGAGAGTGGGACTAATTTGTTAGCCACCGAAACATTGAAACATAAAACATACATGGGCCAGAAAAAGAAGCAGCTCAACTATAATTAGCATTGAGAATATACATATGAAATCAATATATTTATCATATACTCCTGAACTAAGGGAGAAAGGGGGATTGAAAGAGGGAAAAAAAAACCACACTTCATTATTTGTAATTATGAGAATTTTTTGCTGGAAATAATTACTTTTTGAAACATGTTTGTGGTATGTATATTTTCAGTTGATTAATTATGCCCTGTGATACTGATTAAATGTAAAACCAATAGATCCAGTGGTACTGGTCTGTCCCTCTCCATTCCTACAATTATGATGTGGCCCCACTCGTTCTTAGTCTTAGCCTCCACAATGGTGTTCTCTGAATGCTGAGCTGGACTCGGCTCTTTCTTTATTTATATATAAATAAAATATATTCTTAGCTGCTGTGGGAGGTAGGTGCCCTGGCCATTCTGCTGTGGTACTGTTCTCCCAAAGTAGGTGAACTATAATGAATAATAGGTGCGAACAAACAAGATTTCTTCAGCTGCAAAATAGAGGAAGGCAAAGTTAGTTTGAGAAAATTCTCATTAGTAATTTTGGAGGCTTTGATATAAGGCAACCCTCAGTGGCATGGAATTTGGTGAAATGGAATTTCCATTTCCATTTGAATTTGGACTGGGGTCTTCCTCTTCCTTTGTTCCAATTAGCTGAGGTCTGGTAATCTAAGGCCTCAATTGTACATTATTATAATGATATGTGTGTGCACACACACACATATACACACACACGTGTGTGTATATATATATACACACACACACCATATTTCTCTTTAAAGATACTATAGTTTTATCTGTAATGTAAGTAATAGCTAAATATCATAACCCCGAAAGAATAGACCAACTAATTTTATATCATAAATTTTTACTGTAAATTTGAGGATGCTGTCAAATCACAGTATATGGTTGTATTGAATGTACAATCAAAGGTTCTTATGACCATTCCATTAATAATTGAATCATAAAAGTAATAGAAAAAAATCTCAAGTTGAAAATATCTTCTGAAACTAGTTGCCTCTGAAATGAGAAAAAGGTGGGAACTGAGTAAGAACCAAAAGTACATTAAAAACAAAAAAAGCTGGAGCAATATATCAGTTCTATCACTAGTTTATTGTTTAGACACTAATACGTTATTTTAACTGATGATTGTGTTTTACAGCAACATTTAAGCTTTCCAGTGTCTTAAAGTCTATAAAACACACCCACAAAGAAACAAAGCAAATTTTGAAAATGTGGCATCATCTAATAGATTTCTGGAAAATCACATGGAGAATAGATTATTTCAGACTTCTCAATTGTTAAACTCTACACTCCAGAATGATCAGTGGGCCCCATTGTATTTTATCTTTAAAATGGTGTTAAGATTATGTGGTCCCCTAGAAAAGTAAAATGAAAACTTCGTTGCAGCACACTCACTCTGTTGTCCTTAAACTTCCCCTTTGTTCTACATGTACAATAATGGAACAGGATGTTAGAGAAGCTGGTGGGGGGATGAGATTTGGCTAAGGCAGTGCTAGTTGTCTGGGTAAAAGGATGATGGAAAAAGCACCCAGTCATGATGTATTTTTAAGGAAAGAGAAGGTTGTGTGTGTGCAATTCCTCTCCACGAGGATACTCCAATGGAGAAATGAAGCAGTGGAAGTAAATACACAAAGGCATAGGCTGAATATCAGGGAAAAAGATATGTTCAATAGAACATAGAAGACTTTCTGGAAGAAAGGCAGTTAGGGGCCAATGAAGAAAGTGAATTGACAAAGCTCAGGAATCCTACAGTATGTAGAATGGCTTGGTGTTACCAGAGTTATGTAACCTATTTATCTCAACATGATTTTTTATGATTTCCTATGATGTATCTTTAGGAACATAACAAGAACTCATTATTTGAGGTAGAGGAGAATCAGTGCTTAGCTGGTATGCTCAGAGAAAGTATTAGATTGTCAATACCCACCCCACCTATCTTCTCTTTTATAAAGTATGTTCCTTTGAACAATTGTTATTCATATATATATATATATATATATATATATATATATATATATATACACACACAAACAAACTTTGAGTTCTTCTTAGTACCTAAACATTCCCCCCGCCCATAGGCTATGTTTACATGGAGCTATCAGTTTAGCCTTTTAAACTGAGTTAGCATATCTATTATTGAAATAGTTTCCAAGCAATTTTAGATATTATCATAGCATCTGGATTTACTCAAACATTTAGTGTTTGAAAGACTTATGTCTTGGAACTATTCAAACTTACTTTATTTTATTGCTTAGAGAAAATAGTGGAATCAACATGACTTTCTTGAATGGGCATGAATGAGATGCCTGCACAATGATGTTGAAATGTTTGATGTAGATATTAAAATGTAACTGACCTCCTTAGAGGCAGACTAGTAACTGCTCTTTGTGTAGCTAAAGTGAAGCCATTTAACTTATATGACTTTTTATATTCATGTTTTGGATCTTTGGTACTATGTCTTCACCTTGTTTATAGAATTTACCCTTGATTTTTGGTAATATCAAGTTCTAAATGGTCTATTTATTTGAATTTTCTTGCCGTTAAGCAGAAAATGCCTATTCTATAACCAAGGAAAGAAGAAAATCCTGCTGTCTTTGATTTTGCCTGGAGTGTATTTCACTATTTGGGCTCTTGAATAAAAAAAATATGAAATATGTTAATATGTTGAGGTCATGTGTGGGTACTGCCTTGCTGCATAAAATACCAGAGGGGCATATTAAAGACAATATCTATGCCTTTGGGAGAATTTCCAGCTGGACACAGGTGTTCTTAGCATGTCCTGTGGGTTATGTCCACAGCAAAAGGAATGCACTGATGTACAGGACTTCCCATTCTGTAAATCTGACTGATGGTTTGGAAAATAAGCTTAATTAGAATCATATGGCCCCTGCAAAGGGGGAAATGTAGATACCAATTACTGTCCCATTGAAGGGTTCATGAAAACCTCTCCAGCATTTAGAGCTTTTCAGAACATGTCCAATGTCATGTCTCTCAGCAGTGGAGAATTCTAATTCCAGGAACTTAAAACGATATTGCCAAAAATCAGATCAAAAAAAAATTTTAGTTATATTCCAACTTTCTCCCTACTTTCTCCTTTATCTTAAAAATAGAATCCAAACTTAGTCTTCATATGTACATCCAGAATGGGGTATAAGTATCAATTTCTGCCTTGGTGATTTGCAATCTCTTCGTAGTATCTTGAGGTCCTCTGTGAAAGAAGGTAGTAGGGCCTGGGAAAGCCAGGAAGTTGCTAACCTGGAAGAACGAGGTCCTGTGAATTTGGTCTATTGATTTGGGAAGGTTTGAAAAGATAATTCTCACCATTGGAAGAGGGCTGCTAGGTGTCAGTGAATGACTTTAGGAAGAGCCAAACATTGGGCCACTTCTTAATGCCTTATGTTCTGGATAGCACCAGAAGCAAGGTCTCCGACTTAAGAGACCCAGCTCTGTTCTAAGGTGAGTCTGATACAATAGAAAGCAAACATGTACAGATATCCAAAAAAAACCTGCTCATGCAAGTCAGGGCTTGCTGCCCATCTTAGGCAGCAGTACCAGAGCTCTAGAGAGTTTATTTACTATTTACTGGGGAGATCTCAAGGACGAAGGAGATGTTAAATGTAGTCACTATTTGGGCTCCCCCACTCTCCCCCAAAAGCAAACAGGTAAACACATAAATGAAAGAAGCCCACAGAAGGGGGTAGGAAATAAATTAAAAAATCTCTCAAGCCTTCTCCAGACTATGTCACTGGCCCATGTACTTTTTATGTGTGTTAGGATGAAAGAGTGTGAAGACATAAGTATCCAGTACTTTATAACCAAAGCAATGAAAAGAAATTGGGTAGGGAATGTTGGCCAGTTTCATTTTCTTTTGCATCACATTATCACCAGACTATATCACTAGCCCAAGCAGTCGGGCACCTGGAGAGGGAGATTGGGATGTGCAGAGGTGACCAGTGTGCAAATGATAACTACTGATGAAAGAGTCACTGACTCAGTTAGTGGTTGGATGTAGTCACATTAGTTTTCCTCTGCCCGTCTTTGTCTCCCTAGCAAGGAGAATATTTGGGGCATGATGCTATGGGCACTGGGTAAATGTGGTAAGAATGCATGTGTGTATTTCTCTGCTTCTCAGTTGCAGAAACAGAAACGCTTTGGAGATTATCA